TTGGTCGTTAAAACCAGAGTTTAGGTAAGGGAGTTAGTTACGTGTAAGGGAAGTGTTAGTTCCCTTACGATGCTCCTTTCGGGTTCCCTATGATAGACCAGCTATTTTATAAATAAAATTTTGAAAAGATGCTTTTACCTTTTGATTTACAGAATTAAAGTAACGACTACATGACCCTAATGTCTATTATGCAATTTTAATCATAAAAATAAAGACAGTAAAAGAGAGGGAGAGAGTGAAGAAACCTCCGAAGCAAACTTTTTAATTAATTCTTTGAAAATTAGGATACGTTTTGGTAGCCCTTCGCTCTTTACAACATCGAAAACCTCTCGGAAACGCTATAAAAACTCTTAAAAAACTCTCAGAAACTCCGAAAATGTTTCGGAGGGACTCTAGGAAGAGAATTTAAAGAAATTGTAGAAGGAAAATTGGAAGAACTGTGTGATGTAAAAAGTATCACTTTTTACATCGTGCACCCCCCATGTGACACTTTTTACGTCGTGCACCCCCCACATGACGTAAAAAGTATCACTTTTTATGTCGGACACACCCCACGCGATTTAAAAAGCCCTCTTTTACGTTGCGCTGTACCAGATGTTTTTAACGTTACCTCCTACAATATGCGACATAAAAGTTTCATCTCTTATTTACAAATTTGCCATCGCGTTTTATTTACGTCGAATATTTTGACATGCGACAACAATTAGGTGACGTAAAATATCATTTTTACACTAATGTCTTCGTTCTAATTGCCCATTGATAATAATTCTCACTTTAAAAAATTGGTACTGTATGGATCGAGTTATCAGATTGTATTAACAAATGTAAATGTTTGTATATTTGGTAAAACTCTTAAACTTATTAGGTCATTCAAAACAAATAAATTTCTTATTACCGATTGTAGGAACTCAAAATTTTTGTTTTAAGGTTGAAAACTATTAACATATATCTTTATTTATATGAACAAAGTATAAAATTAATAATAATTCTACTAGTTAATCTAAAATAAATTATAAATAAAACTACTCATTGAAAAAATTGTTTTGTTTTAAGGTTGAAAACTATTAACATATCTTTATTCATATGAACAAAGGATAAAATTAATAATAATTCTACTAGTTAATCTAAAATAAATTATAAATAAAACTACTCATTGAAAAAATTATGACAACCCATTAATTTTTATAACTAAAATTGATAACAATAAAAATTCTAATAACACTCTAATAAACGACAACAAAATGTGATCTAATGCTTAACCACCTATTTGACTGAATTAAAATTGAAAAACTACATTAGAAAGTATTATATCTTCTAACAAATAACAATAGGCCTCTTTTATAGTTTTAGATTGCTACTAGTAACCTTATTGAAAAAATATATTTGAAAATTACATTAAAAATTCTATTTTCATAATTGTCAACATTTCTTAGATTTGATTAAAATCAAGATAAAACTGATCAAGGTGACCGCGATCTAGAAATACCAGAAAAATTAGTGGGTTAAAAGGTTTAATTTTTTTTTAAGTTAGTTTATTTAAGAGATTTATAGTTGCTAATTGGTTTTATTTGTTATTGTTGAATGTAGGGTCGATTAGTAATCTGGATGATAAAATAAATTAGATGGTGGGTCGATTAGTGGATTTATCTCATTTTGACCCACCTGCCTAGCCCACCAATTTGGTTACCCAAAGATAAGACAGGTAGGTTAACCCGTTTTAAAATAATATTTATATATTAAAATTAAAATTAAATTATTATAATTAAAAATAATATTTTTTTATATTAATAAGATATCTAAATATATTATAATATTATAATTTAAATTATTAATTATAATTAGTTAGTTTGATACATAAATATAATAATATTTTCAATTTATTTAATATAAATATTAATTAATAAATAAAAATTTAAAAATTATTCATATAAAATATATATAAATTATTGATGGACTAATCTGTCAAGACGTCTTTTAAGGAGTAAATTCGGATTTATCTCATTATGGTGAACCAGATCCATCTGACCTTATTTTTTGTAGAGTGGACCAAATAGGAGCAAACTTACCTTATTTTTAATCCCTAAATATAATGTAATAGATTTTTCATTTTCATTTAAGACTTATTTTTGTTATAAATCATGTATATTAAATTGTTTCTTGATTAACATGGTTTAATATATTATATGACTATATTAAAAGATTTAAATAGCAATAAGCTGTTAAAATTGATAGCTAGGATCCAATTAAATCTCTTACTGGACCTTTAAATTTTATGTTGTAATTGATTTAGTTCTAACAAGCTTGTTTAAAGAAATAAATTTTTAAATGATTTTGTTTTCACTAATTTTGAATAAATGATCAGAATAACTCATGTCTAACCTGAATAATATAGTGTGTCATTCATCAGACTTTATTCATCACAAATAAACAATTTACTTTGGTTTCTGTTCTAATGGTGGATGGACCACAATGTTACTGGCAAGAAACAGGAATCTATTTAGTTTCTGCTCTAATGGTGGACCACAATGTCATTTGCAAGTAACAATAATCTCTTCGGCTTCTGCTCTAATGATGGACCACAATGTTATTTGCATGCATCAGGAATCTATTTGGCTTCTGTCCCGATGATGGACCACAACGTTATTTGCATGTAACAGTATTCTCATCATCCATCCGTTTAAGTAAAACCTCCATCAAATCAAATGTTCTTACAATGTCACTGTTTCCCATAAAACCACATTAAAAAGTTTACATTTTGAAAAATAGTGTAGTAGGGATTAAACTTTAGTTAATCTAATACTTTTTCTCCCAACTAATTTACAATAAATGATCCTACTCATCGTAAAAACAAAAATAATATATTTAATTGCTAATAATTACATGCTACCGCTATGCATCATTTGTCTTGGACTTCACTCATGACATGCAAGAAAGATACCATGCTTTGTTGGACCACAATTATATTTGCAGAGAGTTTATTAGGAGTTAGTCCACGTGGCATGCATGCGTTTAACCAATAACCTCGATCGAATCAATACCACGCTCTTCCAGCGCCACTGGTTTTCCATCAAACCTTCTTCAAAACAATGACATTTGAAAAAAATACACTCAAATAGATTAAATTTTTAATTCATTTACTTTATTTTCTCACTACGATTTTTCAATAGTTATATCATTTCTATTATATTTTATCACAGAGAAGATGTCATAATGTGTGGTCCAACTTATTATAACAAGTTATAGTATACAAATTGTTTAGTTCGACAGTTGAATTGTAAATTATTTATGATTTCTCAATTTAGTCTACGGATTATTTTGGCCAATTTTAATAAAATAAAAAATAATTAAAGTAAAAACTAAGTTATTTTTTTAATTTGTTTGAAGGGGAAGTCCCATATGGGTGAGACTTTATATTAAGCGCCTAAACTTTAATTTACATAAGAGTTTAACGGTTTCTTTTAAAAATCATTCTAAAATTTTTCTTATATTTTCTCTGTTTATTTGGACAGATAAATTAAAAATAAAATTAAAGTTGAATTTAAAAATAAATATAATAATTCTCTTTCGGTTTATAATTTTATTTTTCTTATATATTATTTATTATTTGTGAGTTTTAATATCTTTGTCTTTCTGACAACTAACTTGAATGTATACTTAGATTTTATTCGCATTCGCATACTTGTGTCGATTAAGGTACGAGGAGTGTGTGTCGGCGTGTCGGTATGCTGGCTGTTGCTATTAACGTCATGATATTATTTATTTACGTAAGAAAAAATAAAAATGACAGAGTCAGTTCCAATGTGGTTCAGAGAGCAGCCGTACGGTACATGTATCCTATGTAGTTCAGAAAGTAACCTTGTAGTACATTTATCAACACAATATTAACATTCTTTAGGTAGGGGAAAAAAGATTCACTCTATTTGCTTGCTTATCAAACAAACATAATAGATAGGTAAACTTGTTTACCAAAAACAGTCATATTCTATTTCTTGAAAGGCAGTTTTGATAATTATGATAACGATTTTCCTTCCTATAATCGATAACAAAATCTTATTTTTCTCAAATTATGATTTATTCGTTTAATTAATTCACTTTTTTAAGAACATATATTTCTCATTTAAGGAAGAAAATCATACATATGCTGTTCATTTGATTTGAGAAAGATGACAGAAATTATGTTGTGCAGATTGTCTTTTTTGAATACATAAATGCAGGGCAGGGTGGTCACGTAAATTGCAAATACCCAGAGCAGATTCTGTACCAAACTTTTGAAACAGATACAAGTAGTAATAGCACACAGTTTGAGTGTTTCCTTCCATCCATCCATGAAAGCACGTGTAAGGCCAAATGGGTGCATGTATTAAGAATAGACAAAAACTATAATATAGATCTAGATTATCATTTGTGTTGTATTTGAATCCATATTAATATATAACATTCAATTAATTTATATATTAATTTCACTTAATTATATATTGTGTAAATATTAATAAAGACCATAAAATTCAGAAATGCATAATTTTTTTTTTCAAGACGTTGAATACCAAACCATATAGGAAACCAGAAAGAAAGAAAAAACCCATTGTTTAAAAAATTTACACTGATTTTCATGTAAATGGGTGACACCTCTTACATGCTTTGGCATTTGTACTTTGTAGAGACTACCACAAACAATATTTGTATAGTGCCTTAACAACACGACAAGAACTGATATAGCCCCCTCCGCCACATCCTTATCTTTCACACACACGTCCATTTCTCATCCATCAAAACCCTGGAGGAAAGAGTGAAAAAAAAATTGAAAATATTCCCTTGTGCACCATGGACAAGACCTAGAGGAGGAGCATGCAGAAGTCTTTGCATACAAATGTCTATAAAATGAGAACCACCTTCTATGTAACATGCATTGTTAATTGAGAAAGAACTAGATTTTCTTTCTGAAATCAATTAACGAAAAAGTTATAATTTTCCTTCATAGGGTCTCTTTAGTGCAAAGAGTTATGAACATGACTGAGGATCATTCAGGTTCTACTCCTCTTTTGTCACATGACTCTGATCGCAGAGAAGATAAGATCGATGAATTGAATGATGATAATGTTACTCAGAGTGAGAGGAGCCAGTCTACCTTGATTCGGGATGTTAGTTGTTTAACCTTGAATTTTGTTTATATGCTTTTCTTTTCAATGCATCTACATGCAAGTAATGAAACTTCTCATCATGAGTATTTTTCACAGGTACTGGAGAACATCAAGGACTTGTATACCATTGCCATCCCAACAATCATCTCAGGGCTTCTAACCTATGGAAAGTCTGCAATAACCATTCATTTCTTAGGGAGACTAGGCAAAGAGGCATTAGCTGGTGGAAGCCTAGCCATTGCCATGGCCAACATCAGTGCTTATTCTATCATTTCTGGCCTTGCAACAGGCATGGAAGGTATCTCCTCTCAAGCTTGTGGGGCCCAACAATGGAACCTTGTTGGGGAAACCCTACAATGCACCATCATGATTCTGATCATAACTTGCATTCCCATTTCCATCGTATGGTTCAAATGTGAGCCCATCCTTCTCTTGTTTGGCCAAGACCCCACCATCACATCTATTGCCACCACCTATCTGGCATTCTCTCTACCTGACCTAGTTTCTCTATCCCTAATGAGCCCTCTGAAAATTTTCATGAGAACCCAAGGTGTGACCCTCCCACTCATGTATAGTGCAGGTTTGTCACTATTACTACATGCATTGATGAATTATGCGGTCATTAACACTTTTGGTCTGGGAATCGAAGCGATTTCCTTGGTTGGAGCCATCACCAATCTAAACCTTATAATTTTCGTTATGTTTTTCCTATGGTACTCTGGGGCTTGTTCTCAATCTTGGCAAGGTTTGTCATGGAAATGCTTCAGTCACTGGAAGCCTATTCTTTGTCAAGGAGTCCCAAGTTGTGTCTCTGTTTGCTTAGAGTGGTGGTGGTATGAGTTATTGATAATCTTTTCAGGGCTCCTAGAAAATGCAGCAGACTCAATGTCCGCCTATGCGATAATAATTCAGGCCACTTCATTTATGTACAATTTTCCTTATGCGTTAGGTTTGGCTGTTTCAACAAAGGTAGGGAATGAACTTGGAGCCAATAGACCTAACAAGGCCAAGTCATCATCATTCACTGCATTACTATGTGCTTGCTTCACAGCCATCTTGGCTATGTTATCGATGGTGACTATGAGCCGTGTCTGGGGACTAATGTACATTCAGGATGAAGCTGTTCTGTCTTTGCTCACAGCAACATTGCCTATTGTGGGCCTGTGTGAGCTTGGGAACTGTCCTCAGACCACAATTTGTGGGGTGCTAAGAGGGAGTGCTAGGCCTCTTTCGGTTGTCAACATAAACTTTATCTCCTTTTATGCTGTGGGCTTACCTGTTGCCATTGTGATGGGCTTGGTGTATGATTTCGGCTTGTTGGGCCTTATGTACGGGTTGTTATCGGCTCAGATAGTGTGTGCTATTGTGATGGTGTTCATGTTGACACGAACTGATTGGAAAGAGGAAGCAAACAGGGCGAGAAAGTTAGTAAGTGGAATAAGTGAGAGTAATGAAGAAAATAATGAAGACATGGAAGCAGTGACTTCTGCTGTGTTGCTGAACTAGTCCTTGGTGGTGATGCTAAGTTTAAGTTTTTAAAAATGTTTTTCCTATTCACCTTGTTGTTGTGTTCATCTCACTTTTTTGTTGTGTTCACCTTGTTGCATTTGTATTCTGAGTGTTTCTTCTGTTATTCGTCATATGTTTTCATCATGTAAACGACTTTGCTTCAATGAAAAGTTCAGATCTTGTTTGTTATGATATCCTTCAAATAGATATGTTTAGTGTTAATATCATCATAAAAGTAAAAACAGAAAACTTTGCCAATGTACAATGGACGCGGCTGGTTCAGACCTACTTTATTTCCATGTCTTCACTGGGCTTCCTTTAAGACCAACAAAGACATTTTGCTTTTTGCTGGGTTTACTTGTCAATTAAAAATAAATAAAATTATTCTTACGCATAACTTATTTTACATTTTCTTTTTCACTTCAACCTACTGTTTTGGAGAAGGAAAAACAAGAGTATACACTGAATAATTGTACTTTTATATTTTTTAATATAAAATCTTTGTGTTATAAATTAAATTCATCTATATCTATATTTATATCAATAAGCAATATAAACTTGAATACGTATACAAGTGTTAAATATGAAATTTAATTTCAATTTCATATTTGTATTAATAACTTCCATCTCTATTTAATTTCTCTCCTTGTTTTATTAAATAAAAATATATATCATATTCAATAAATAAATAATTAATTAAAATTTATAAATATACTACATTTAATAAAAATAACAAATATGAATATAAATTTCAAATATTTACTTTGAAAATTATTAAATATTCTTTGACAGTCAACTTTGCTTATAATGTTTTGACTTATCATAGTATTTATTTAATATAATATGAAATTAACTTAAAAATAGTACTATTAAATATTACAATTATTATATGTAATAAATATAATATCGATCTATTAAAATTTATTTTGAAGAAAACACCATTATTACACACACAACATATATATATATATATATATATATATATATATATATATATATATATATATATTCAAACATATTTAAATTTTTGACGTTTGTATAATGTTTTTAAATATTATTATAGAACATATTTGAAAATAAAAATTCAAACAGTATAATATCACTAAACTAATAAACATACACATTTATTTAATAACTTATGTCGTATTTTTAAATGTAATAATTTACCCGTGTATTATATTTTCTTATATAATATTTAATTAATATGATAATTATTTATTAAATGTAGTATATTTGTAAATAAATAATTAAGATATCAATATATTCAAACTTGTATTATATTCTATTAGATGTAATTAATTTACTAAGAATTTTTTGGATTGTTACGAGAATTGTTTAAAAACAAATTTATCTTTTTTTCAATTATTACGGTTGAAAATTGTTTTATAATAGTATATTTTTTAAAATAGAATTTAAAATATGCAAAAATTTAAACATACATAATAAGTTAATATATATAATAATTTACCTTAATGTACTATGGAATAACTGATTTGTTGATATTTATCCTTAATAGTCAGAGAGCACTTTATAATTATGATATTTATTAAATTTAAATAAAGTTTAATTATTTCAAAGTTAATACCTATGTATATTTATACCGAGATAGTGAGAAAATAGAATATGCATTTTATATTATCATTCATCGTCAATCACCGTGTAAAGTAAACTCTTTCAAAAACATTAAAATCCATATATACATTTACAAGAAAAGTGCATCGATAAATATTTAAACTGAGTTAAAAAGTAATTTTGGGACACAGTTTGTTTTGTAATTACAAAAAAAATGTGTGTATTTTCACTTAATGTCTATGTTATCTTACTAATTTTTATCTACACCTAGGAGTTACATTACTAAAATAATATGATTTTTCTTTTATCGTGTAAAATGAAAATATAAAATATATTAAAAATGAAGTCAATATTTAACCATTTTTTTCTATTAAATATTACATTTGATGTATTTAATTTTTTTTCGGTCACAATTATTTTTTTAAAGTTGGCAATTCATAAAATAATCTTAAAAAAGTAACACATGTTATATTACAATATTATTTACAATAAATAATTTATAATATAAAAATTGATGAAATCTTTCATTTCATTACATATTTTTTCCATATTTAAACATGTTTAATATTTTATTAAATGAGTAAGAAGCACCTTAATTATGTTTAATTTAATATACATGTAAACTATGAATTATTCGAAATTTTTTAATTAAGTCTCTAAATTATTAATTTATTTTTTAATTAAATTTCTAAATTTCAATTATTTTTTTAATTAGATCAAATAATTTTATTTAACAAAGTTAACTACATATTTAAGTAATTATAATTTTTTTTCATAATGATCTTCTTAACTTATTTCTGAATTTATTATATAATGGTTGTATAAATAGTTAATAATTAACTTATATAATTACTACCTATCTATTACAAAAAAATTCCTAATAGTCTTATATAATGTTATTGTACGTTTATCGGTGTCATATTATTTAACGTTCTTTAAAGATAAAATTGTGATAAACAATAACTTTAAAACGGATAATATCTCAGACGTGAGAATTAACATAACAGACATAAAACTAAGACATACTCTTTTATAGACGGTACATTAACAACGTCCACACCGTGGGTGTAAGAATATAATTTCGCTTCACTCGTACATACCCTTAACATATGTTATGGTAAGCTTGTTTCACATTGCTTAGGAGTCAAGACCAATAGTAGTTTATATATATACCTCCTCTCTTAATTTACCAAGACATATTTTAAGGACAAAATCATGATCGAATTTATTTTTAAAAATTATTTTTTATTAATATATTAGAGTTTTCAACCCAATTACAAATATAATAAATTATTTGACACGTAAATTTTATAATATTATATATAAGTTAATAAGTAACACAAAATTTACACGACATTTCTAAAATAAAAATATAATAAAAAATAACTATTATTTATAAATGACAATATTGTTGGTCTCATTAATGAAATATTGCATTAGTAAATTATTAACAAAATAATACTAAAGGTTAAGTGATTTGACAAAAATAACTAATAATATTTATTTTATGAGAGACCAAGAGTTATTATATCAACAAAAGAGATATAATTTTAGTAGTGTGAAAAAAATAAAATAAAGCAAACTACATTAAAATGTATTCTATAATGAAATGTTTAATAAATTTATCTAATTAACTATTATATTTTTATCTTAGAAAATTTAGTTGCAACAAAATATTTATAATACACTATAAAAAATTAATAAAACTTTCATTTAAAAATATTTTTATTAATTTAAATTATAATAAATTGTATATTATAATATACTCATTTAACGCATGGTATTGCATCACGTATCTTTGTATAATACATCTTTTTAACATATTTTTTGTTTTATAAATAGTGAGATTTATTTTTATATTTAATGAGTATCAGCCAAAAAGTATCAAATACATTTTTATTAATCGTTTGGTTGTGTGAATGTTAAGTGGTAAAAAGTTGATATAATTATGCCTTGAATTGTTATGAAACCACTTAACTTATGTTAATTTTAATATATTTTTCTCTCAATATAAGATGAATTCGAGAATACCTTGATACAAGAGTAAGAAGTATAATTTTCAACATAATTGGAGTAAAATTGAGAGAAAGAAGAGCGCTAAACGAATAAATGATGCGAGGCCCGACCCAAATTCTCTTATAAAAAGATAAGTTGTGTTTTGAGAAAAGCAAGCAGTCTTGGAGAGGAGGAGGCACGACTACTGTTAGGGTTTTGTCCAATCGTCATCAATTCTTCTTCATCAATTGAAGCATTGTAATGGCCAACATGAGTGGCTAACTTCATTCTCTTAGGATTCGGTGCACTTCCTTTGAACTCTTTTGTATCATGGTGATATTTTGGTATATTAATCTATGCTTTGATGTTGTTATTCTTATCTTCTATGCTTTGGAATGATTATTCCTGATTGTTTGAGGTATGATTGAAAAATATATCTTGAACCCTAGATCACGGTAAGAATATTTGTTACGTTAATTGCCAGGAATGGAATGAATGTATCAAGTGCTTAAACACCCTAACCCTAATGCTGGAAAATCTGTTAATTGTGTGAGGAATCAACATTTATTAGATTTTCTTATGAATTTCATGTGTGAGGAATCAACATGGATGATTTGAGTAGGTGTCATCAACATTGTTAGGTTAATTGACGTTCTTAATTGACATAGTCATTACAAAAGAGGGATAAGGAAGGAAGCCAATCCTAAGTACCTTTAATTGATATTTTCTCAAACAATTTACAGTTCTTTGTCATTTAAATTCAACTCAACTCTTATTTGCAAAACCCAATCTGTTTAATATACGTAGTAAGCATAATTGAGAATTTTCATTGAAACTGTTCCTCGTGGAATCGACTTTTATTTTATCGAAATACTATACTACGATTGATAATTTGGTACGCTTGCCAATAATTCAACAAGTATTTCTGGCACCGTTGCCGGGGAACGGTGTTCTTTGATAATTCTTTGTTTAGCTTATTGAGTATTTTATTTTTATTTCTGTTTTTTTTTATTATCATTATCATTATTTTCATCATTATTATTATTATCATTATTATTATTATCATTATTATTATTATTATTTAGTTTTTAGTTTGTGCTAATATTTGCTTGAGTTACTCTTTTGATTTATGCATTTAAGAGGACAGGTATCTTCAGAGCAGTTAGAATTTAATCCAGAAATTGAAAAGCAGCTCGGAGGAACCGGGGTAGAAGAAGAAGGGAAACTCAAGAACAAGCCACAAGAGAATCTGTTAATTCTTCTTTCACACTTGATTTACTAGACCCAATTATAGAAGATATGGCGGAAGAAGGAGCAAATCCAAATCCAAATCCAAATCAAAATCCAAATGTAAATCCACCTAGAAGAACTCTTAGAAATTGTGCTATGCAGCAAGGTCCAAGACATTTTTCCAGCATTGTCATTCCGAA